TCATCTTGTTACTTCAAAACTTTAAAGGAAAATTAAAATTCATTTTGAATTTATTTACCAGTAAAATGTTTTAACAATGTTATCTCCTTCAAAAGCAGCATGAAGAACACACTTAGTACTTTTGTACCTTCAAAATATCAATTTTTCAAAATTATTTTTAAAAAAACCATTTGTAATATTAAAATCATTTTAAACAAACCAAATAGGCCTGTCTTTCCTTGAAATCGGACCAAAATTACACACACAGCAATAAAAAATGTCACTTATGCAAGTGCCCTTTAAACGAAATGTAAACAAACTGTGTTTACAGCTATTGGGGTTTGAGTGAGGAAGTCAAGTTTGAGAATTATTTATGTCCCTCAATTTTATGAAGCTCCACATCAATATTTTTTCATTGCAGAAGGAAGTCTACAATTCAGCACTGCTCTAATTCACACCACAAGATTTATTCAAGTTGGATTTTCTTGTTTTTTGTTTGTTCTCTTTCGCATCAGTATTCAGGTCATAATATATTTGTGCACAGTTCCTTTTTTTTTAAAGAAAAACTGTGGTATTTTCAATCCCACAAAGATTATCAACTGAAGAATCTGAACTATCCTACACACCAGTGTTAAATTTCATTCACTCAACGATGTTCTCCAACAGATAATCTAATTTTCACATTTTCTATTCTTCCATTACATGCCTCAGTCCATTGCATATAAATTACGAAATCGATACCTTCCTCAATCAATTTACAGAATACACCCTTTTCAAAATTTCTCTTTACAGGTTCTACAGATCTTTTCACATTATTTCATATGATTTCAAATGGGTTCACAGTTTGCAATGATATGGCAGTAAACAGAGCATAGTATGACCGTGCTCAGCAACTATAGCATCAATACAATGCAATTCAAATGTTTTCAAGCCTTAGAGACAAGAACTAAGGAGTTCTGTTCTCAACATATTTAGCTTACCGGGGAATATTTTTCCCAGTCAACCAAAATTGAATGTCTACTTTTGCTGTACTTGATAGGTCATAATATATATCAACACTTTTTAATTTTTTTTTTTTTTTTTTTTTTTTTTTTTACTGTTTATTTCAAAATGCCAAGTAATATTCTTCAATAATATTCTTCCATAATATTCCATAATATTCTTCAATCTCCTGCACTCTATTCAATAGCTGGTGATTTAAATTCTTTCTGTACTTGCTATAACAGAAAGCACAAATATATTTATGTTTTAACTTGTTCTATGGTTTGATTTTCATATGTTTTAACTTTTCAAGTGTCACATCGATAGATATTTTACTGTATTTTTTGCCATTACTAGTTTCCAACGCTTAATATTTTACCGTGTTTATTTTCTCATGTAGCATAATTTCTCACCCTTCAATCACATTGTTTTTTTAAAATGTGTTGAACTTTTTTAGAGCCACAGCTTCTGGTAACTTTTAGGCGAGCTTACTACAATTTCTAATTTACTTAATTTTGCAGCATATTGCGCAAAAAAAAATTATCTAGACCAAGTTGGTCATACAGTATTGTACTAACTACCTTGCTTGTTAATACTTGAGGTTTATGTATATCAAAATGCCATTCATTCTGATTTCAGAAGGATTCCTTTTTTTCAGTGGCATATATAGCTTTCCTTCCACACTGGTAATATTTTTACTGCCTTTTTGTTACTCAGAACTATGATCAGGAGTGATGAAAAAATGATCACTCCTGGAAAATGATCACTGCTGATCATTTTCCGTCATTCACATGCATTTTCATAATCTTCTAACAACTCTTCTAATTTATTTGGAGATGTTATCTTTGATCATTCATCAATATAATGCTGATACACTTCGAAATTTACTTGATGCTTCATTTGATCCATTATCATAAGATCTTTTAAAAGTTCAAAATCTTTAATTTTAAGCCTGTGTTCCAATCTTCCAAATAATTCCTTAATTCAAAGGTAAACCCCTCCAAGTAATTTGAGGATTTTTTGGGTATTGCATAAATTTGATGTGAAATTTTTCTGGATTAAGCTTAAACCTTTTTAAACAGTATTCCTTTTACATAAGCATAACCATAAGCCTGTTGTTCTGGCTCTTGCATAATCAGCTAGAAAAGTGTCGGTAAAACAGAAACACATTGTGATTGGTTTAGACCCTCAAGCTTTGCTTGGCGCTCAAACATGGCTAGGTATAAACTAATCTTTATTTTTAATCTTGGGTCAAGTTTTTGGATAATTTTTTGGAAATCGAAACAGCTTTTTCTAAGCGTACTTTCTTCATTTCTACAAATTAATAGATCATTTCTGTTAGCAGCCTGCAATTTCATTTTGGTTATTTTGAATTCTCTTTCTTCTCTCCTAATTCTATTTTGGCTCTCTTCCTCTTCTCTTTTTAATTCTCTCCTTCCTCTTCTCTTTTAATTCTATTTTCCTTCTTTTTTTTTTCCCCTCTCAAACCTCACTGAAGTAATATTTTCCAACAGACTTTTCAAAAGTTCCTCCTCGTAAGCTTCATTTCTCATAATCAGCAGTCTTAGATCCATTATTCTAAAGTCAGGTCTGACCTTTTCTCAAACGTTTGCTAAAAATGCCATGATATAACCAAAATTTATGATCAAAAGCTAATGACTTTCTTTTTATATATACATTTTTTTTAAACAAATAGCAATTTCAACTGTGAGGAGCAAAATTTAACCCTTAATTTTTTCACAACAAATTCAACTGATCTAAAACACAAGTTCAAGATATACACTATAATATGCACATTAGGCATTCATTTATAATTGGTCTACTTGTGGATTTATGATAATACAGTATGTCATGAAAATTGTCTAGGTATATTAAAGTATGCATTCAAAAGCAAAGTTTTAAAAAATATATAAATGCTCATAACTAAACTTCAATATAACAACAGTTTAATCATAAGGCATTTAACTTTAACAGGTTCAACTGAAAATTTTGCAGTTCTTACACAAACTAATGTTTTATACTCCTTACGGGAAACTTCTAATATTTAAAACATTCAAGATGACATAGAAATGATAGATGACATAGAAATGATAGGAACTTCAGATTCTAGATTAGATTAGGGCCTTCGAGATTCTAGATTAGAACCTTGAAGGTTCTAAATTTTACTTGTTATTTTGACATAGCATTTCTAGGTCATCTTGAATGTTTTAAATAAATATTAGAATTTGCCCTTAAGGAATATAAAAATTAGTTTGTGTAAGAATTATAAGAACTGGAAAATGTCAAAATACCAGGTAGAATTTAGAGCCATCAGAATTATTATAATTCTTTCTCTCTTGCACATTCAACTATATAAGCTTAATTTCAGCAGAACTCATCAACATTTCAGATGTTAAAAAATCTATTAATACAAATTCAAATTCCTAAAATTTATGCTTTCTTATTTGAAACACAAAGCAACACATTTCTTTAAGCTTTATAGAAAACAATGTTGATTAAAAGGAAAGTCATGTGAACTGGCAAAAATTACAGAAATAAATTACTTCACTGTCTCAATATAAAAAAATCCAAGGTACTAACCTGCCTGGATTTGTAAGCTTGGCCTCCTGGTTGGAGCCTGGAACCTATAGATCTAAATCCCAACTTAAAATTTTCATGGATATTGATGGTCCAAACATTTTAAAGCACTTTTCACAACACACATACTTTTCAGACACTGCTGGTTCTACACTTGAACATAATGCTGTAGATCTTCGAACAACTGACCGTACCGTAAAATTTTCAGAGCCTGGCGGTCCTCTTCTCTTCACTAAAATATTTACAACCACCTGTGGTTCTACAAAACTTATTGATGCTGCAGATCTTCGGACATTGAGTGTTGAGATACTTAAAGATGAGCTAAATTTCAGAGCCTGATGGTACTCTTCTCTTAACTAAAACTTCTGTGGGCATTGGTGGTCCAACAAAACACTGGCAGTTATAAAAAAACTTAACAATACTGAAGATCTTCAGACATTGACTATCCCGCAAAACTTAGGGTGAGCTATATTTTGGAGCCTGATTATCCTCTTCTTTAGCCGGACTGATGCCCGCAGTCTTTTTAAAGTAATACACAAGAGTTCTTGTTTGATTGTCAAACTAAAAATAATTCTGTGGATTTCATATTGCAGCACTGCCACCAATAAAACTAAGCTGTAACATCAAAAAGCTTCTGGGACAGAAAATAACTAGACAGATTGTCCTTTTTTATTTATTTAAAAACATGGGCCTTTCTTGGTTAATTAGAAAGTAATATTACAGCAGTATCACAGAAGGGGAAAGATAACATTTTCCCGACATTCAAACGCATCTTATTCTCTTGGCATTTTGTAGACAAAAGCCATCTTTTTACTCTTACAAATGAGTCAATGGAAACACTGCCAAAAAATGTTTCCTTAACGAGTTTTTCTTGATCACTTTCACTGGCCTTATGGTGGATACTAGTGTTCGTTCCCAAGAGAACAGGAAGTTTTCTAAGGATACACACGTTGTGTTGTTACAATATATTTTAAAAGTTATCACACAGGAAACAAGAGGTAAGTGAATTTATTTTTAATTTTATGTTTATATTTTTAATTCTTTAATATACATACATATATATATATATATATATTTAAATGGTAAATATAAAATCATTTATTTAAAGATTATTCAAGAAACGTTGAACTATTATTCTAAAATATGCAAAACCTACTTATTTATGATGAACTGCAGAATACATACAAAAACGAAAAATTTTTGCCCCAAAAGGCACTGAGTCTCCTTAAGTTACAATGGATTGAGCTACAAGAATAGTAATGAAAGCTGACTAATCTGCCATTATTCAATATCTTAACTAAAAATTATATCAGAATTAAATTTATATGCATTCTGGTGTTAAGGATTTTAAAACTATTTACTAAATAAATAAAAAGAATACATAAACAATATTTTCATTATTAATGAAACTTTTAAAATAAAATTAATATCCATAACAAACACTTCTTCCTTTAGAAAATTACCTTATCTAAAGCTTCTTGCAATAAAGGCTCTGCTTCCTCATATTTTCCTATTGCAATCAGAGCTGCAGCTTGACCATTCAAAAGCAATGGTGTTGGGGAGTATTTATCACTAAGTTCTTGAAAAATGTAATAAGCATCTTGAAGTTTTTCTCCATTCTGTGAAGAAAAAATAACTCTTATAAAAGATTGTTTTAAAATTAAAACAAAAAATGTCCTACAGATAAATCCAAATTTAAAATGTGTGGTCATTAGATTCTTTTGAAGTAAGAGATATGAAAAATGTGCAATGCCCTCATTGGGACTCAAATCTGGACCTTTCAAATTTTGCATCCAGAGTGCTACCATTACACCATGAAGGCATGCTGGAACGATTGAGAAAATATCTTAAACACTCCCTTTTTAAATGGCGACTGGGGATTATGAGACACAATCGCCAAATTCTGGTGGTGATAAATTATCGTCCACCAACTTCTAGTGTGGGTGCCACTGTAGACATTAGGGTATTTTGAAGCAGGAAACATGAAAAATATGCAATGCCCTCATCGGGACTCAAACCTGGACCTCTCAAATATGAGCCAAGTGTGATACCACTACACTTCGAAGGCATGACGGAAGGAGGGAGAAAATACCTTATAAATGCATTATTGAATTATTGCATTCATTACTGAATGTTTGTTATTTGAACATTTAAAATAAAATTACCAGATATTTATAATTCAAAGAAGGGGGAAGTTATACTTAATTCTCTGACTGTGGTACAAAATTCATAAACTAAAAGATATATTTTTTTTTCCTTCCGTGAAATTGATCGAAGTTGAAATTGCAGTTTCTGCACAAGTATGGCAATTACTGCTAAATTGATCTATGAAATCAAATGTTCTGTGCATACACCCAGGATAAACAGATGTCCCATTCATAGACCTCTGGTCAGACAGTTACGCAAAATCTTCAATAATCCTCACAGACAAGGCAAGAAACTGTCACTTCTTAATTTCAAATTAACATTTGTAGTCTATTTACCTTATATAAATTAACCCATGCTTGACTTAATTGAGTAAGAGTGCAGTCTTCATCAATTTCTTTCATAGAATTCAATTCTTTCCTGAAACAAAATAAATTTATTTAAATGTCAAATTACTTTCCACTAAAATACAGCATACATTGTACGACGGATTTCACAAAAACATATCACATTAAAATCAATTAATAATATCAAATCAAAAAATCAGTTGTAAAAAAATAATGATAATAAATGTCAATTTAGTTTAAAAACTTTGCAAATTATCATTTCAAAATTTAAAAAAAAAATTATTTAAAAAAAATTGAACTGTTTAAAAGATTTTAAATACAGATAGAAATTCTAAAGAAATCTAATTCAAAAATTTACTTTAATGAAAATTAAAAGAAACTTGAGGAGAAAAAAGTTTCATACAGTTCTTAAGTAATTATTATCCACCAGAGAAACTACAAACAATTTATAAGAAATTTTTAATAGGCAGCTCATACCAGCTGGAAAAAAGTAACGGGTGGCCATAATTAAACTGACAGTGCTCACAGTGTTCTGTAGCGAGATCTATTTGCGAGAATGACGCCACATTTTGTAGGAAGATTAAACAAGAAGGGGGGAAGAAGGTTCCGTGAAAAAAAAAAATTAGTTCCTAAAGTAACTACAAACAATTTATAAGAACTACAAACAATTTATAAGAAATTTTTAATAGGCAGCTCATACCAGCTGGAAAAAAGTAACGGGTGGCCATAATTAAACTGACAGTGCTCACAGTGTTCAGTAGCGAGATCTATTTGCGAGAATGACGCCACATTTTGTAGGAAGATTAAACAAGAAGGGGGGAAGAAGGTTCCGTGAAAAAAAAAAAAAATTTAGTTCCTAAAGTCACCGCTAGGGGACTATTTGGCGCTGTGTAATAGAAAATAGAGTGTTAACAAATGCAAATCAATACGGAAATTACCTTTTACTTTGCATTCAAATGAGGTTCAATGTGGCTGCCGTTGTTGTGGACCACATATTGCATTCTGTTCACAGTATGCACAACAGCAGAAAGTAACATGTCTGCAGGAATCTCCCGTACAGTCCGTGATATGTTATCCTTCAACGTAGCCAGGTTTTGGACCACTCCTTGATAGACCTTGGACTTAAGGTAACCCCATAGCCAGAAGTCGCATGGGGTAAGATCAGGCGACCGAGATGGCCATGCAGTTGGAAAGTAGCGGCTAATGACTCTTTCTGTTGTGAATTTTTGTCGTAGCATCTTTCGCACCTGTACAACAACGTGTGGAGGGGCTCCATCTTGCATGAAAATGATTTCACCCAGGCACTGTCTTTGCTGAATGACAAAGCAGTTCAACATGTGGCGATATTTCTCTCCGGTAACAGAACAGGTTTCCGATCCTGTTGCGGTAACGTTCTCATAGAAGAATGGACCTACGATAAATTTTATTCCATATTAATTTGCATTTGTTAACACTCTATTTTCTATTACACAGCGCCAAATATTCCCCTAGCGGTGATGTTTGGAACTAATCTTTTTTTTGCGGAATCCTTCGTCCCCCGTCTTGTTTAATCTTCCTACAAAATGTGGCGTCATTCTCGCAAATAGATAGCGCTACAGAACACTGTGAGCACCGTCAGTTTAATCATGGCCACCCGGTATTTAAGAAGAATGACGCTAAATTGAAGCTAAAATTGATAATTGAAGCTAAAAACTATGGCAAGAACTAAAAGTGGCAATAACTTTTGAATAAATATTTGTACCTTTCTAGCAACATGTCCTTAACAAGAAGAATAGAATTTTTCTTTCAGATCTTAACATATGAATCAGATATGAAGCTACAGATCGAATCATAATTTCAAAACTTGGTGTAGCACATAAATATTACTTTCCTTGATGTATTTTTCCCATTTCTGGAGTTAGCTACTCCATAAATGGAATCTACTTATTCCAAATTATGGCTAGGCTATCAATTATAGAAACAATCAGCTAGTCTGGGGTTGCCAGATGCCTCACTTTCCCAAGACAGTTCCCAGTTTTTTATGAAAACATTCATTATCTCAAGACAAAATTTTTTTAGCATCAGTTTAACCCAGCTTTCCCATTCAAAAGAAAATTTTCAGAATAGAATAAGCAATGAGATTCTTGTGCCTAATTTCCAGTATGAAAAACAGTTTTCTTCTCAAATTTTGCCTTTGTTGGAAACCATTGTCTCCATGTGACTGTCTTAATTTTATAAGAATTTTAACTATCTTTGGCACAGTTGGTGGACTTTATCTGGTACTTCTCAAAGTCTGGTACAACTTTCTGGCTAAGAATTTGGATGGTGTTTTTTATTTCCTGAATTGCAATCAAATATTTTAATAGATGAGTCAAATATCATAATGGATATATAAGTGACTTTTTTTTTTATATATGTTTAGTGGTCCTTACGTAGTTGATTTCACCACAGTCAACAAGATAAAAACTTAATTGTGGATAACTTTCTGTCTTAGCATTATCTGTTATTTTTAAATTATTGGCAGTAGTCTTGATTCAATATTTAAAGATAAGCCAGTTCATGTAACAATGTTCCTATCTCATTGCATAAAAAAGGTTAGAAAACATTTCTCATTGCTGGCATCAACCACAACAGAAAACTGAAGAAATTGAATTTTGCTGGTAACTTTGTTAACAGCAAACCAATTCATATAAACATTATTTTAATATTTGTAATGCCTAATTTACTTTGTCCGTTGGCATCTGACGTGAACTGTCATGTAGTATATTGTGCAGTTCTTCTTTTCAATAAAAGTGAGACAATACTTGAAGTATAATACATAATAATAATATTTAGTAATTCTGTTATTAGTAGTAGTACAGCTAATTAATTGAATTTAATTATTTGTTTAGTAATTTTTATGCATGAAAATGAATTCAATATGCCAATTAGAAAGTATTCATTTCAAAATATATATTCAGAGGAATGGCGCTTCATAAAACAAGGAAAAAACAACAGTGAAGCAAAGTGTATAATGTATAAGCATTACCTTTCTACTGCACTTGGTGTGAAAAAGTAGATGTAAAAATCATTAATAGAATGTAAAGCATGTGCACATATACGCTGCATGTGCTTCAAAAAGAGAAGGGAGTGTTTTTCCCCTTCTTTTTTCTTTTGGTCAAAATCGCCAAAGTAGGGGAAAATAATAAAAGGCAGCAGAAATAACAATATGCTACCATACTATTAAACATCATGTCTTTCAAATCCATGGAACTACTAGACTGAACTTAATGATTCTAGAACAGCAAAATGTGTTAAAATAGAAAAAACTAAAACAAAATCGAAAAAAAACATATGCATTTAATCCATTTAGTACCTAATACAACTAAACAATTACATAACGATCTTGCAAATGTCTATTGCTTTGCACTGCCACAGATGCTGAGATATATGAAACATACATAGACTATCTAAGTTTCTGCCAGTTTTCATATACTATGAATACTTTCAAAAATATATAAGGAATATTTTTTACAAGTTCTATGAATGTTCCAGACATTATAGCTATAAACAGAAATAATAATAGCTATAAACAGAATAAAATCTGTTATCCTGTCAAAATCTAAAGATTTTATTTGGACTCGTACAGAAGAAACCAACACAACCCATCCTTTTTCAAGGCTTAGTATTCTTTTCAAAAACACGTGAAGTATTTTTTACAATGTACAAAAATATTCCCCTGAAATACAGCTGGAATGTTTCAGACATATTCCTTCCCATAAATTAAAAGAATATTCCAAACTGAGATATTCTTGGAACATTCTACATATATTTCTCATAAGTATTTCCCAGGATATACTTAGAATATTCCAAAATACTTGTAAATTTTCTCAGAGTATTGTGGGATGGTAAGGAACCAAAATTGAATATGCATAGGATATTATATACTGTAAGGGACAAAAGTATAAAAGTTAACCATATCATGAGTTTTTCCCCTTATTAACATAAAATATTGTTACATAATAATAATTTTTAATATTTATTAAAATTAATTTGAGATAAAGTGTGATTTATTTCTCATTAATACACTTGCTGACAATAGTAAGATGTCAAAGTTTGTTAATCAACACTCAAACCATGGCAACCCTATGCTAGATTGCTGGTATAATCTGTGCACAGCAATTAAAATAAGCGATTGTGAGATCACTACTAAATTTATCCTGGCACCTAACACAGCTTTAATTTCTTGATAACCATCTAGTATCAACAAAAATGAATCAATAAATCAGGCTTCCAAATCATAATATATTTAATCAACATTCTTTTGATAAAATTTAACAATTTTAATTTGTATATCAGCACTTTAAAAGAATGTTTCAATTAGTAATTTCTTTACAAAAAGTCTTTTAGGGGAAGAATTTATAATATACAGAACTAATACTGAAAAAAATTGTAAGAATTATATCATTTAAACCACATTCACTTGATGAAAGGAAACATGAGGTACAAGTATAATTTAAGCTTATATATTTTTAGTAAATGGTATCATGTGACCAAGCTGTCAAGATCAATCTTATTTCTAAAAAAATTATTACACCAAAAGCAAATTACAATAAACCATTCAATACAGTTATTCTTGTAATCTTTTTTAAACACTGTGTGTATAAATATAAAGGAATTTTATAAATTCTTAAATAATATAATAATCAAAGCAGAATTTCTTCCACAAGGGGTCAAACCATTAAGAAAAGAACAGTCAACTCCCAGTCTACTGAGATAATACTGGGAACAACATCTAGAGTGAACTTACAATAGTTAATTTGAGGCACTTATAAAATGCACAGGTAAGGGGATTAACTCATATAAGAAATAACAGAAAAATGAAATAAATAATTTACCTGCATTACCATTTAATTAGCTATGCAAATTAAATTAAATCAGTGCTTATTATTATTATTATTATTATTATTATTATTATTATTATTTTTTTTCTTCTTTAACCACATCACACATGTACCCTTCTTACTATGTTTTTTCCTGCTTCTGTCTGTATTTTCTTCGTTTCACAGTGCACAGTGCACTTGCTGTTTGCTTTTGATTGTATTGTTCTCATAT